AAAACTATTTACAAATGTGTGTGGAGAGTTGTGTAACTGGTGGGACTCTCAATTGGCTGTCTTTTTACACGTGACTTTTGCTACACTTCTACCGTGGCTGTGAGAGTGGTCTGACAATCAAAAGGTAGCCCCACCCAAAAGCACATGTGGCTTTATCATCTATTTTAACTTAAATTAGACCATAATTTACTAAATGAACATCATAATGTATTGAAGAAAATGGTAAACTAGTGACTGAGACCTTAAACTCATCAGGAAACTGTTTACTGAGGTCATAAAGGAAGTGTCAATTTGGCTCATTCTCTATTCAAGTGAATGGGATCGCTGTGTTATTGCAGCCAACGGTGTTGCCACCTGCCGGAATTTACATAGAATGCAGGTTTAAGACACTTCCGGGTTGGCTTCACCTTTAAGACCCGGAAGCTCTGTCCATTATACAGTCGTGGTCAAAGATCTGCTGCCTCAGTTTTTATGATGGCAATTTGCATATACTCAGAAGTTTATGAAGAGTGATCAGATGAATTGCAATTAATTGCAAAGTCCCTCTTGCCATGAAAATGAACTTAATCCCAAAAAATGTCCACTGCATTTCATGTGAAGAAAGCTTCAGGGCACCCAAGAAAGTCCAGCAAGTGCCAGGACGGTCTCCTAAAGTTAATTCAGCTGCGGGATCCGGGCAGTGCAGAGCTTGCTCAGGAATGGCAGCAGGCAGGTGTGAGTGCATCTGCACGCACTGAAGCGAAGACTTTTGGAGGATGGCCTGGTGTCAAGAAGGGCAGCAAAGAACCCACTTCTCTCCAGGAAAAACATCAGGGACAGACTGATATTAAGTTAGGGATTCGACTGCTGAGGACTGGGGTAAAGTAATTTTCTATGATGATTCCTCTTTCCGATTTTTTGGGGCATCTGGAAAAAAGCCTGTCTGGAGAAGAAAAAGTGAGCACTACCATCAGTCCTGTGTCATGCCAACAGAAAAGCATCCTGAGACCATTCATGTGTTGGGTTGCTTCTCAGCCAAAGTAGTGGACTCACTCATAATTTTGCCTAAGAACATAGCCATAAATGAAGAATGGAACCAAAACATCGAGAGCAATTACATTGTCCAATCCACTCCAAACTTCACTTGTCTGATAAGTGTCCCGCCTTGAACGCATCTATGTGATAATATTCAGTAATACTGAGAGCGCCACCTAGTGGTAAAAGGAAATGTATTTTTTTTATATTTTTATGTATATCTTCCAGCAGATTGACCAGATCCAGCTGAAATTCTGTCAGAACTCCATTAGGACGATGACCATGACGTCTTCTTAAGAATCTTAAGAATTTTTGTAGAACCACGTTGCCAAAATCTGCTTTTGTGTTAACAATTGATCAATATTTGGGGGGGGCTAAACATGCCCGTAAACTCATAAAACTTTGCACAAAATTTTAGTTAGTTAGTGGTAAACGCTGACGTATTGTTTTTGTCCCACAGATGGGCATCGCAAAATGGCTAAGCCACGCCCCCCCGAGTCAGCCCCCAAGACGCGTATGACCGACATGTTGGTACGCATGTGTATCATGATCGGACAAGCAAAAAAGCCTGTTGGACCCATAACCCAAACCCAACAGAAAGTCAGCCATTTTGAATTTCGTAATTTTTGGCGTTGTATTTCAACGAACTCCTCTGAGGGAATTTATCGGATCAGCTTCAAAATTGGTCAGTACAGTTAAAAAATGTTGCTGATTAAACGTTGTGCTATTTGTGCATGTACGTTGAAGGGCGCGTTCGTGGCGTGGCGTCGAAGTCAGCCATTTTGAATTTTGTGGTCATTTTCTGCGATTTTTTGTGTTGTATTTAAACAAACTCCTCCTAGGGAATTTATCGTATCAACTTCAAAATTGATCAGTTAGGTCAAAAAACATTGCTGATTAAAAGTTGTGTTATTTGTGACTGTACGTTGAAGGGCATGCCGGTGGTGTTGCGTTTGATTTTTGACGATTCGCCATAAAACAGATAGTGTACTTCAATGTACAATGTAACTGTAACAGTCCCACCCTGAACACGTCCCCATAACTTCAGAGTACATGCAGTGTCCAATCTCAATGAAACTTCACATATTTCATGAGAGTCCCGCCCTGAACACGTCTACATGACAATATTCAGATATTGTGATAGCGCCACCTACT